TCCTTAAAGATCATATTAAGCATATATTCTTGGCCTAAGAAGTAGAAAGGAATTTGCAATTGCTAGAGATGGTATAAAAAAGTACACAAGAAAGTGTTAACGTGTTTATGAATGAGATTTTGTTTCACCGCATGAGCTTCTAACCTTTGGTGCAAGAATTCTGACTGACATACCTATTTGTTCACCCAGGGAGGCAAACACCGAGTCGGTTGAAAAGACGGGCGATAGTTTCATGGTGTTACCCAGGAGGTTAGGAGCCACAGCGAATTGCGTAGAACTCAAAGAGGCAGCGTTTGAAGTGGATGTAGTTAGATTCTCCATGCCTGGCTCCTTGGAAGGCTTGAATAACCGTAAGCCATAGCGACCGCCATCCTTTACGAGAAGTACCAGTGCCGAGTCCAAAAGGATGGCCAGTACTTCAGTCCTCTCTTTCATGTAGTCATAGTTAATCTTGTTATCGCTGGTGAACGTCAACTTGTCTACGGCAATCTCGGCATGATCAATTACCCAGAATCGAAACAGTGACCGAGGAAATTGAAGCAGGAGGTCCTACAATTACAAAGAAAATCTTTATTCCAAATTATTTGTATCTATATTGGATTCACCAAGTTATTAACTTGAATAGCTCATATCAATCTTGGAGGTCAAAAGGAGCCACATACGAGGGCACAGTGAGCCTAAGACCAAAGTATTGAAGCATTACGGCAAGTTGTTTCTGCACAAAGTCCAAGTGTCAATTCGCTTTTGACCATCTCTTAACCCTGGTGCCATCTGATTGTGAATGCCTCAGAACCACGTAAATGGCATTAAAAGATAAAAGAAAACCTCTGACGACTCAACGAAAAAATGAGCATTTTGTCTTTATAAGGAGGGTAAACTGCTCTAAAGAAGTGAATAAACGATGAATGGTAATAGACAATGCAGTCACCTAAGAGCGGTAACTTGCAAATTCCCTCATTTACATTTCTTTGTTTACAAGGGCTTAAAAGACTCAAAATTCAACTCTGACAAGTCTCTCCATGCCCAAAGACACTTAGTCACTACTGGATGTAGCTTTCGTCATAATAGTATTTGATATGAAGGCAGAATGTGTGAATGCCTCGGCAGCTGATGCAATGATGTGCTCAGTTATAACGAACCATCGTTTTGGCTATTGCATAGTTCGACAATCTGAATGCCACAGCGTTAGGATTTGATGCATTTGATGAGTGTCAGCATTCCTCCTGGGAAATGGCCTATTTTCATCAGGAAATACGTCAGTCATGCGCTTATATGACAATTGAGACTTGGGATAGGCAAAAAATGCACAAAAATTGCAAGAAGAAACAATTGATAAAAAAAAGTTGTTGACAAATAAGTAAGCTGATGATTTTGTGCCCTTTTGAAATAGTTTTTTTTTTGCGTAAATACATTATACAACCAAGGTCACAATGATGATGAGAGTACACAGCTTTGTTGTGCATGCAGTGCCTGCCTTAAGCACTGAATGATAGAAAATAGGAGGTATCAGAGCTGACAACATACCGCAAAGGGCAAATTTCCACCTTGGGCCTGATGTCGTGTCAACTGCTCCCCCTTATCCACGGTGGAGAAGAAGTGACCATCGTTGATCAACTTTACTAAAGGCATACATATCTTGTCGATTGAGTGTGGAATGCTCGCCAACTTGGAGTGTATGTCCTTCCAAATCTTCGCTTCCGCTAAAATCAAGTAAGCAATTAAATGCACAACAGTTGTTTAAAATGGGCCATGGAGGTGCGGGGTGGATGTTTCGTTCAAACATTGTGATCGAGGAGCCGACAGACTCCACCCTCGGACTGTTATAGACACCTCTTCCTTCCCTTTTTTGAA